AAATAAGTGTCGGAGGCTTCATATTCAGGGCTCCGGGGCGCTCTGCTTAGAATTATGATTTATTTCAAAAACTAAGAAGGACCCGGAGTCAGGTTCCGGTGAAACTTAAGCTCTGCTTTTCCCATACGCATTTTCAGAATTAAACAAATACCTAGAAAAAATTAATTTTATATCCATATATTCTGACGCATCTAATCATAAGGATATACACTTATTTCCAGCCATTATTAGATTTTTTGATTCGGAAACTGGAATAAAAATTAGAATTTTAGATTTCGTTTCTTTGCCCGGCGAAACTTCTGAAATAATTTTCAGTCCCATTATTTTCGAAAAATATAATTTAAAAATAAAATGATTGCATATTGGGCAAACAACACGAACGCAAATTTTGGCGGAAAAACAAGAAGAGGTACAAATAATACTTTTTATAAATTAAACAAAAACCTTAATTAAAACATTATTCGTTTTGGTTGTGCAGCGCACATAATACATAACGCCATTCAAACAGCTGCTGACTTGTTATCCGTTGATGTGGAAAATATTGTTATTAAAATATATTCTTATTTCTATATATACAGTGTGCGCGTTGAAATGCTTAAAAAATTTTCTGAAACTGCGGAAGTCGAATATGAAACGCGCTGGTTAGCTCTTTTGCCAGCTGTCGAAAGAATTTTGAAAATATACGATTGTTTGAAATCTTACTTCCTAACACAGGATAAATGTCTTAGAATTTTAGAATTTTTTTTCCAAAAAGAATCTTCAAACATTTGGCCAGAGTTTATAAACAATCAAGCAGCTCTTTTTCGAAATGCAATAAACCTTATTGAAGGTGACAAAAATTCGGTAATGGCAATATTAAATGAAGTTAATAATTTAAAATTTTAGTGTCAAGAGCGGTTAGAAAATAATTTTTTCCGTTAATTATTCGTAATATTGTATAAGCCAGCTAGAAGAACAAGGTGCAATAAATAGTGCAGATATCAAGAATTACGTTAAAACGTTCTATAGAAACCGCATAGTTTATTTAGAAGAGTGAACGATATATTACAATGATATTGAACGTTTTCATTGGGTTACATTAAAACAAGAACTTAAATGGAATGATGTGCAAAAAATCATTCGATCATATTACTTAAAATCTTCCATATAGTAATATTTCCGAAAATGATCTTTTTAATGGGGTATCATTATTAAAAATTATATCGATAAAGAAAGGTTAAATCTTGGGCATCTGCAAAAGTCACAATACAGAACAAATGGTTAGAAATATTTAATCATTTTGAAAAAAACCATGTTCCGTACAATAATGCACTAAAAACTGTTGGATACTTTATCAGGAACTAATGCTGCGACTGAACTCGTTTTTTCTACGGTAAAATAAAGTGTGAACATCAGAAAAATAACAATTTTAAGTGTTGACACTTTGAAAGCCATTTTAGGTGTGAAAAATAATTTAAGAAATTCTTGTGAAAAATTTTATAACCTATTAAACAACAGCAATTCACTAAAAAAATTCACTCAAATGAACAATGTGCCAAAGAATAAAATAATACTATACATATTTTTATTATGTATATGTATGTATTAATTTTTATTATTAGTCCAAAGCTGTTTTGTCCCTGAAGTACTATTATTTTCGTTTTGCGATTTTGCGTTGAATCACTATAAACGTCCGTTTCACTTTTCAAACTGTTGCCACCAAATGTTAGAGTTCTGCATTATGTTTGAAGAAATTATTAGTCCAAAGGGGCTTTGTTCCTGAAGGACTATTGTTTTCGTTTTGCGATTTTGCGTCGATTCACTACAAACGGCGAGTCACTTTTTAAACTGTTGCCACAAAGTATTATCGCCCTGCATTATATTTGAAGAAATTAAATAATGAAAAATCTGCATAAATGTATGTATACCTCTCGCATTATGATAAAACAACGGTACATAGAGCCATCGAATTTTGAATGACGTCATCCTCCTACGAATATGGGCATGTAGAAGACCAAATTTGAAATTTGGAATTTGTTTTATTATCGATTTCATATTTTGTAAAACTTTGACGAACTTTTGAGTAACAGACTTAACGATTTGAAAGCGAGCAATGGCAGCAATCTACGGGGGGGGGGGACCTTTTATCTTCAGCGCGCGGAACTGTATCGTAAATTCTAAAGCTAGGCTCATTTTAAAATTATTTTGCGACATTGCTATTGAACTGAAATTTATGGCTTAAGTGCGAAGAACATGATATTTAATAACTAAAGGTAACACACAAAACGTTAAAAAAACGTCCCTTTGGACGTAATTTGAAATCTGAAAACTTTCAGATTTTTTTGTATGTATGCATTAATTTTTATTATGTATGTAAGGATTAATTTTATATTTTATAATGTATTATATTTGTAATTTGTGCTTATGTTGAAATTAATAAAATATATTTTAATACTATTTTTTCGATCTATGATAAATTTAGTTGGCTTCATATAGACCAAATTCTTAATCAAGAACCCCCCGCCCCCGGTGAATAGTGTCCCGCTTTACTAATGTTAAAATCTGGTCACCTTACCCTAGTGGCGCGTGGCTACTTCGATGTTTAAAGCCAGGGATCTCTCTTAAGTCCTGGTTTAAAGCTAATTACGTTCCGCCAGAACTGTATGTGTCTGTGATATTTGCCGGTTAATTTAATTAACGGCCAACCACTTTACATAACTATGTATAGCTTCGGCTAAGGTTTTGGCGATATTTCAACCATTTAGCGTGATTGCCATAGCCATTTACTCAATGTCAAATAGACTTACCTCTGTATTCGTATTTTCCGACAGAGCATTTTCTCATTTCAGCACTTCATGTTACACAAAAAATACAAATATCATACAAAAATACTACAATTTCACATATAATTTCACTAAAATTATTTACATATGTACAAAATTCGTAGCAATGTGAAAATTATTCATCATGTGTATAGGATTATGTAAAGATGTATTACAGCCCAAGGTGATAGAGAGACTTGAGCACAAAATGCAAGACTTAGCCTCGTACATGTTGAAAGAAAAACCTAAAATAAACAACCAGCTAGACAGTTCTTACTTTATTACACTAAACGGCGCCGCTGTTGACCTTGTTCGAGGTTTCATTTTGTTACGTATTATTGGAAGTATATAAAATTTTTATTGTATTATTTGGATTCGTTCTTGGGTTATTTCATAGATAATGTCCCATTTACTTCTTCCGCAATTGTGAAATGCGATTTCCATGTAGTGTTATTAATTTTCTGTGACCAATTTATTTTAAAACCACAAAGAGATCAGTACCAACATTATCCAACACCACGAATCCCACGCTAGTGCACGATAATAGTAATACCCAATACCATTAAGATTCATTATAGTTTTAATTACACTCATGTCCATAAATTAAGGATAATGCAAAATCAGGCAAAGGCAGAGTTAGAAGCAAAACAAATTTGACTTATTTGTAAAGCTTATTTCTTAAACAAAAGGTAAAGAGCGAAAAAATATGCTATATGTTTGATATTATTAAAAAAATTAGCGATTTTTCTCCCTGGAGCAAATTACAAAAAAAACTATTTACAAAAAACCAATATTACATGGTTGGTATGATTGTTAATACATTGTATGTCTCCCAGACGATGCAATACAGTCCGTACAACGCCTAGGCATGCTGAGTATCAAATTATCGATCTGATCTTGGGTGATATTACACCACTCAAAAAGCAATGCTCTCCGAAGTTCCGGTAGACATGTAGGAGGAGGTTGACGGGCTGCAGCTCGTCGGCAAAGTATGTCCCACACGTGCTCTACTGGATTCAAGTCTGGCGAGAATGCTGGGCAGTCCATACGGGGGATATCCTCCGATTGAAGGCATTCGCTTACTATGTTTGCACGGTGAGGACGGGCGTTGTCATCCATAAACACAAATTGTGCGCCCATGGTGCCCCGAAACAAACGTACATTTTGTTCCAGAATGACGTCCCGATAGATTTGGCTTGTCATGGTTCCAATTTGAACATGCAGGTCAGTTCTGGAACCCAGAATAATTCCACCCCAAACGAGCACTCCTGCACCACCGTAACGGTGTCGTTCAATGATATTTTCTTGGTGGTAACGGGTACCTGGAGCTCTCCATATAAAAGTCCGGCGTGGATCAGACTGCAAGCTAAACCTGGACTCGTCGGAAAACATCACACAAGCCCACTGTTGCGGTGTCCACAATGCATGCTCTCTACTCCACGCTAACCGCAGGCGACAGTGAGTGGAACACATATGACAGGTCTACGAGCATATAGACTAATCTGCCCTAAGCGTCTGTATGGAGAGCTCCAGGTCTGCCTTGAAATTGTCGTACCAGTGGCTGAAGAGAGCTGACGAGATAGGTCTGAGGCTGTGCTCCGGCTGTTTCTTTTGGCAGTAACTGCCAAATACCGTCCTCATTCGGCGTTGTAACTCTGGGGCGACCTGTGCTGCAACGTCTACTCACATTACCATCATCTTGGAATCGTTACCAAAGCCTGGAGATGACACTCTGGGCAATTCGAAGTTCGTCTGATACTTCCAGTTGGGTACGCCCACATTCCAGACGGCCGATAATTCTACCACGTAAAAATTTCCAATGCGTCTTTTGTGTCTAACTATTCGGTTATTGCATGAAATGCTTATAGCGCCTGCGAACAATTTTACTTCTTTGCTGTATTCCTTATATCACTATCTTTATCTCGTCATTGTGACGTACCATCGGTCGGGTTACTGCTTCCTGAAATTTGCATATGATTCTTGAAGATGTGTGTAGTGATTTTACAGGTGATATATTTATTTTAGAGTTCGATTTCCGCGTGACTGACCGAATATCCTTAATTTATGGACATGAGTGTAGATGATTGTTAGATGTTATTAATTTTCATATGTTCTATAACAAATATTTCATTTATAAAATATTAATAAAAAATTTCAGGTTTATTGACTGATTTTTAATGGATCTTTTTCTTTTCAAAGAACGGTCTTGCGAATGCACTTCTGTTTGGAGCTTTATGCATTTCCATCGTCATTTCCGGAAAGATTTCTGATTTTATTAGAGGAAAAGGATATTTCAAAATAACCTCTATTAGGAAAGCATTTGAAACAATTGGTAACTTTGATATTTATTTTACCATCTTAAATAACAATATACAGATGATATAAGTTTTTCATAAATTATAAATATATAATTTCTGCAGTAAAAACACGCAATAAATCTCTGAATTCTACATTTCTTTTGGTCAAAGTTTCCTTTACTGATATAGTAATTAACAGATTTATATTATTTAACCTGACTGGATTATATTGTTGTTCCTATGTCCTTTAGATATCTCGTGAAATAATTAGACGATTTAAAATTAATAAATAAAGTAAAAATGATAACTAAGTGAACAATCTCATATCAGTCAAATTACAGAACTTTTCGAGAGAGGAATTACACTCGATTGAAACGAATAACAACTTTTTTACAGTCAAGATGAATAGCAGTCAATAATGCAAATACACGAAAAAAAATAGGTAAGACGAAATTTATCTTAATACGCGAGGGACATCATAGGTCACCAAAATCGATTGCAAAGGAAATCTATTTAATTTTATTTCTAAATTTTTTTAATTAAAAAAAATTTGAAAACTTTCAAATTTTATATTACGCCCAAAACGGCGCTTTTTTTAACGTTTTGTGTCTTACCTTTATTTATTAAATATCATATGTTCTTCGCACTTAAAACACATAAAATTCAATTCAACAGCAATACCGCAAAATATTTAAAAACAGCATATCTTCAGAATTTCCGATACACAGTCTCGCGCGCTGGAGATAAAAATGTTTTTTCCCTGTTCAGTGTTCCCTTTGCTCGCTTTGAAATCGTTGTGTGTGTTAATCAAAAATTCGTTAAAGTTTTACAAAACATAAAATAGATGATAAAACAAATTCCAAATTCTAAATTTGGACTTCCAGATATCTATATTCGAGTGAAGGACTACGTTATTCAGAATTTGATATTTCTTGGTACCGTTATTTTTTCATAATGCAAAAAACATACATACACTCATGCAGATTCCTCATTATTTAATTTCTTTAAATGTTATGTAGGGATCTATTATATGATGGCAACAAGTTGAACGCCGTTTATAGTGCACCAAAGCAAAAAGCCAAACGAAATTATTAGCCCTTCTGGACAAATTACCCCTTTGGGCTCAAAATTATTTTTTCGGAATTTCAAGTGATTATTTTCGTTCGTTATCGCACAACTTTGGTTTATGTGGTAGTTTTGGAATTGATATCGTTTTGTTTTTGATTCTAAATTATATTTTAATTTTCCACAGGGTTATATTTAATTTTTAAAATTTTCTTATATGCCAAATTATGCAATAATGGTTTGCACATTTTAAGTTTTTGCAATATTCTGTACCAAATGATTTCTTCTACTTTCACAAACATGGTATTTCAACTTGTCTGATTGTAGTTTTATTTCAATTATAATTATATTATTGTGTATATATAAGAAACCAAGAAATTATATGTGAAAGATACGTAAAAAAGTAATTGACAAAAAATTTCTTTATCATGAAGTCAGCCAGGAACGCGTAAAAATGAGGATCACAGCGAATTTTATTTATGATAGATTATCCACTACTAGAAAACAACTAAAAATTTCGATAAAAATTAGAATACGCATCTATGTAGGCTGTTTCATAAAATTTGCATCTTCAGGACTCTCTGGAACAGTTGCCGCGAATTCATAATTGCAGTTTTCATCAAAGCAAGCTTTCACACTACGACAAGTTTAGTTCGATCTTACCTTTCAATAAAAATATTGTTACGAAACGTCCAGGCGCAGTGAGATAGCTTCCCCACAAAGCAGTTTGAGGGTTGCCATAAAATGGCAAGATAAGACAGTGTTGCCACATTTGGCAAGAAATCGCCCATTTGGCGACAAAATTGGCGATATGTCATGGACGGATGGAGAACCTTCTGGAACGATTTCTTATCGGTTTAGCCCAGAATGTGCTCGAACACCAGCCAAAAGCTATATAAAGCCTGCTGGTCTGCAGTCAGTTTAGTTTACCTCGTCGAGAGGGCGAGTATGTGTGCCTCGCCTAAAGTGCGAGTGAGTGCCTCGTCCAGAGTGATAGTTAGTATCGAGTTGATGTCTCGTCTAGCGAGTCAATCCCTGCGGAATCGATCGAGTTGACAGCCGGGCAGCGAGTGCCGAGTGGGTCGTCTTCGAGTACATCAGAAGGAGTCTGTTAGTGTAGCGCAGTTGGTGCATCGTCGAGAGAGCGTGATGAGCTTCGGGAACGACTGAACCGAAGAGTCGGGAGCCGTGCTCTGTGTGTCGTCGAGTGCATCGCGAGTTGCAGCGTGGAGAGCCTCGAGACTACGTGGAGTTTCGAGAACGACCGAGCAGAGTCGGGAACTGTAGTCTGGTGCTTGCAGTGAAGCTGTCTCCACCGTGATAGCTTGATAACCTGAAAGCAGAGCTGATTGTGTCAGCGTGTTTATAGTAGATCTTCGACGACTGTAAAAAAGTGACTTTGGAGCTGTCCTGATTAATATTGTCTAAATAAAGTGTGTTTGGATATTTCGCCAAGTAGTGTCGTCGTTATTCACTCCAGATCCACACGAACCCCGTACGAACGTGAAGGAAGAAAATAGCGTAACAATATATTAAATTTTCTCATTAACAGAACTCCAAATAATAAGTTGTTCTGTATCCTGCTATAAATACTTTAGAGAAACTATCGCTTTTGTAACATGCGAAATTGACCTTGAAAACAATTACCAAAATTATATGTCATGAAATCAGAATTTCTCTTGAGGAAATGCCTTTCGTAGGAATCATATAAAATTTAATTTCCTGGGTTCGAAATTTCAGATTGGATTTTGCGAATGCTTCGACATTAATTCTCATCTGACGTAGAAATTCAGAAATCTGCATTCGAAATTTAAAATACGTTAGTTGCCTTTCACAACTTAAGTGCATAATTTGTTAGAAAAACTAAATAAGGTATGTTGGTAATTTTGATTACATGGGGAAGGAATTCACTTTTTGTTTCGACCCTTTCAGTTATAAAAACATTTTCGTCATTGACACGCATTTTCATGTGCATCCCATGTAATAATCTAACAATAACAGTTTAACAACTTAGTTTCATTCATATTTATTTAAAAACCATCACTTATATTAAACGAAGAGCCTGCCTTGCTGACTGATTTCTTAAGATAGAATTCTGAGGTTGTCAACAATCTTTGAAGAGATATTTAGAGGAAAAAACTTTTCGAAGCCTCTCATAGTATACAAGTTTATACAGAATCTGAACAAATGAGCAAAACTTGGGGGTGGTAGAAGGTAGCTATCGAGCAATATTCGTCAGAGAATATATGGTCGAAACGAGAACGGCGAGCAGATAAGGTGGCATTGTAAATGGTCGGTCCTCGCACCCAACGGTATTCCTCGGTCGGTGGTTGTCTATTCTTTTCCATCATCTGATTTCAACTTAGGTTGATTTTCGAACTCTTTGGAAGTATTTCTGCATTTGAATTCGTATTAATTGTTATTATATTGTTTTCAATGTAGAATCTCTGTATTGTAAGTGTTTTGCTGTTTGTATTTGTATATTGTATCTTGATTATTGTATTTGTCATCGAATCTACTCGTTCCTTGAACTTATATGGTCATTTCTTCATTCTCGTCAAGTACTGAGACTTTTATCTGATTTTGGCCTTGTTCCTTTTTGGTACCTCTTTTCTTACCCTCCAATTTCTCTTCCGAGTTGAAACCACGTTCAGAGTTCATTATGTCTTGTGCCTTCGGGCTTTATTTCATGAACCGGCATCGTTTCACCATGCAGTAGCCCGTTCATAATAAGTCTCTACCCAAAGGTATTTTCTACCGTGGGTTGCTAAGGCAATGGCTGATTATACGAACCATGAAATTTCCAAGGTGATGGATTGTTCGAGATGGTCCACTGACATCACCGGATCTCTCGTGGTTCGACTTTCTTCTGTGGGGGCATATGAAAAGCCTAATCTACAAATGCCACGGTGAAACGAACATGGATCTAATCGTCAGGTTCGCCGTTGTTGCCGGCGATACTCCAGAAATGCTTGGTGTCTTCGCAAATGCGAGTCAATCTCTGTCGCGCAGCTATGAAGCCTGCATTACAGCGGACGGGTCTTTTGAACAGTTTCTTTAAGCATGTACATCAATTACATTCCTGTTAATAAAATGTTTTCTGAAGTCTATCCTCCCGTTCTCGTGTTAAGTTTTTTTTTTTTAAATGTGACGGTGGAAAACTACCCTTTAACTTCTTGCCGCTTGCTTTCTGGCCACACATTCTGTGACGAATATTGCTCGTATAGCCGCCTTCTGTAACCCCCTAATTTTGGCCCACTTGTTCATATTCGCTCTGTGTAAACGTTCTTTGAAGTTCACTGACTATTTTTTTATTCCTTTACAGCTATGGTGGGACCTGCTGCTTGCATGGCTGCCATTACCTTAGTTAAATGCAATGCTGATGCAGTCATAGCTCTGCTTACATCTGCCATGGCACTCTACGGTCTTTCCGGCGGAGGGGATGTTCCCATCATAGTAGATATGTCTCCAGATTTTGCTGGTATGACTTTCATTCCTCAATTTTTTTATATTACTAAAATTGTTCAAGTTAATCTTCAAACAAATGGGTTAAGTATTCGCTGAAAACAAACACGCCAAATGATAATAATTCCACAGAAAACGGCGGTAAAAGAAATGTTGGCAAATCATAATTTTCTGGTCTCTGTTACCACAGTTCTTCAAAACCAATTTTTAGTTGGTAAATTAGATTTACTGGATACGACATTCCTAAAACATTTTTCTGTTTTTATTAATGATTTTAAGGAAAATCTTTATTTATCTAATTCTTAACATTAAAGGATTCGATTCCCCAGCATATTTTCGTTTACTTTCCTGGCAGCGGATGGCGTTAGATATTCCGTTTCCTACCATTTTTGCAAAACCGTCTCGAAAATTATTGTGTGCTTGTGGCTAACGATTCTGAACATCATTTTTCTATTAGCACTAACTATCACACTTTCAATTGGCATCCTATCAATTTTACTTGTAATGGTGCTGTTTCTGTTTGCTAATTTCTATCTTTGGTTTATTCACAGTTTTTCTTAACGAAAGCTAATCAAAGTGCATCCTAAACAAATGAAAAAAGCAAAATGTAATTATAATTTCACTCTCTCTGCAAATCACACATATTTACTTTTAAAATTTTTTTATATCTATATGTACACTGAATTGTTAAGACTCTTTTATCAAGCAGAGGAGGTAAACCCATTTTGCGATGTTTGAGAACAAAATTGCTAATATGTCGGATGGACATATTGCCAATATAGACAGAGCAAGAACAATCTAGAACACAATTTAGCGGTTTTCTCGAGAATATTCTCGAAAGTATTTTAAAGCTATATATACCCTGCCTTTCCTGGGGGGACGTACTATCTTGAGTTCAGAGGCTGTATATAAGTCCAGCTTCTTGATGTTTTCAACCATCACGTGAAGGAAAGCACCAACGAGATTATTTACAGTCAACTCTTCGCTGAGAACAGGCACAAATATAGCAGTTATCACCCGATATATACAGGATCCACGTCAAATGATCATGTTGGGATGGCATTTGTAATTGAAGATCACACAGAGGGCAGATGCTTGCACCATGCTTTCTCAGACTTAACATTTGAATTAACTGCAATATATTATGGTCTTTTGTGTATCTCAAAGCTCTGCCGCAAAAAGTTCATAGCTTATACAGACTCGTACAGTGCTCTTAAATCGTTGAAAGCTTTGCCCAACACTCAGAATCCTGTGGTAGTGGATGTTCTCAAGATTCATATAAACTTAGCGATTCGAGGATATGAAATCCTGTACTGTTGGGTTCCAGGGCATGCGGGAATAAAAGGAAATGAGCTGGCAGATATCGCAGCGAAATCTGCTGTTGAACTGTCCACTCGCATCATCCCTTTTAGAGACATCTGTTGTGCCATCAAAAAGAAGATCCGAAAAAAAAATGGCAGCAACTTTGGGACATTCAGCTTCACAACAAGTTGAGAAATCTTAAGCCTAGAATTGAACATTGGGATTTTACTGGAAATCGTGAGGAGGAAGTTCTTTTGACTCGCCTCAGAATTGGTCACACTAGAGTGACACATAGCGACCTTTTGAATGCCGAGAATGAACCTGTTTGTTTGAATTGTAATGTTTGTCTATCAGTCCGTCATATTTAATTGAGTGTCCGTGTTTTAATAGTTTTCGTCAGAAATATTTTAATAGCTGTGACTTACCTCTTGACCGTTTAATCGGAAGAGAGGTCAATAGCAACTTATTTTATTATCTAAAAGAGACTGGCTTTTATTACCTAATGTAATTTGTTTTTAAAGATTGTGTGTTGTATTTTAATGTGTGCTTTTTTACCTCTTGTGTGCTTTTACCTTGTTTTTATATGACTTCATCCTCTGGATTGGGTACATTTGTCTACCTATTTTTTATTTACTAATAAATTGTTTTGATTTCATCAATTTAGATCATCCCACTTCTCGTGTTTGGTGCATTATAAACACCTTTGGTTTTGCGCCAATAATCTCGCTCACTCACTCACTGTTCCAAGTATCAGGTTTTATTCCTGATTCACAGAAGAAAAGATAAATAGGATGAGTTTGTACAGATGGATCGAATATGTTTTAGAAGAGGAAGCACAACGTTTGTTCCACTATGCACAGGTAAATGATAACTGCTGACCACCTATGTGTGGTCACTTTAGATCAGTCCAGGTCTGATCGCCTATGTGCGATCAGTAAACGTCTTGCGCAGCTTCTTCGTAAGCGTTAAGTTAGACTGCTTCTGTCGGACTTCTTTCCCCCTCCCTTCCAGCAAGCCTCCATGGTGTAACGGTAGCAAACTTTGCGCGTATTCCAGAGTTCTCCCTGCTTCAAAATAACTTAATTACATTACAGTGGCGCCCGAATTAAAAGATTATTGTACAATAATTCTTCAGTACCAGGCTTTGGCAAATAGATTCCCTAATCCACCTTTAAAACGGGTGTATATAAGGTATTTTCTCCCTCTTTCCAGCATGTCTTCGTGGTGTAACGGTAACACATTTGGCGCGTATTCTAGAAGGCCGGGTTCGATTCCCAATGAGGGTACTGCACGTCTTCCTGCTTCAAAATAACCTAACGACTCTACAGTGTGCGCTTTATAGCTTTTTATTATTATATGACTGATTTTGTGTTTAGAGTGTGATTTATAGATTTTCTAAAGAATACATTAATAAAATGTTTCGACAGGCAAAATATTTGGTGTTGCGAATGGCATCGCAGGTATACCTGGTATTCTCGCTCCAGTCGCTGCCGGATATCTTTTGGAAGGCAATGTAAGTTGCAATGTTTCTAATTTTTCGTTAATTATTTGCCCTTTCTAAACAATGAGTGTTAGAATTATTCTTAGTTTTTGTTGAATATTTAAATTTGCATATATTTTTCAGGTTTTTAATAGTTAGATATCCTTCTTTAATGTATCGTAAAAAAATCCGAAAGAGGGAAAAAATTATTGAAAATTTTACCTTGAAAAACCTACTGTGGTAAATTCAGTTTTATGAAGCTAGAAGCTATTTTAGCTTCATAAAAGTTAATTTCATCAGATGAAGAATTTTAAAACTATCAAATGAAAATAATTCTAGCAAAAGACTTGATAAATTCTATATACGTCCAATTTTTATATTATTGAACGGATATATTAAAACTTTTTTCATTGTCGTTTACTATACTTGTGTTCGTGAAAAGGATCTAAAGGTGCTCTCACCTTTAGATCTAAGATCTAAAGATCCTTTAGATCCTAAGATCCTTAAGATCTAAAGGTGCTCTCACCGATAACTGCTAACGGGAAGTTGTGGAGCCTGAAGCTGGAATTTTTATTTAGCTCATTCCTTGGGATTTATATCAATAGAACATTTCCTGTCAACGTGTTGATAGAAAAGCTCAAGACTTCTCTCAACATGCCAGATACCACTTTAAAAAATTTAAATTCGTTTCTTCTAGAAACGAATTTAAGTTTTAGGCCCATGTATTCCTCAAGAGGTAGCAGTTTGAGCACGCACGTATTGAATATGTTTAGGTTTTCGTGTGCTGGCAGCTGTCTCTTAATATCCGTCCTACAATCAATACGAATTAACTTTAGGATCGGATAGAAGCAATATGAAATGCTATGGCTAACGTACACGTTCAAAACCTTTTGATTTACCTGCACGAAGACTGCAAACTCTTATTGTAGGACATGGTAGCTTCGTTATATACTAATTTTTGCATTTAATATTCTTGTATTGCACTATAAATGCAATCGCTTCTTACCACTAGTTGTTATGTGAAATAAATTTCTTCTGATGATTCCTTTAGGTGCTGCAAGTTTCAAAAACATGAGTATATTTTACGCATTATTTCCTCGTCCTTTCAAACATGTAACTGATTTTCTTATTTTATTGCATTTAAACGTAGTATTATTGAGCATTTCGTTTAACGAAGTAATTAAATTATTTTTTTACAACGCTTTAATTGCATTGCTAATATAAAAGTTTTAGTGAGGTCATTCAAAGTGTAAAGAATGACGTCACGTCTCGTTGGCTTTTCAACAACTGTTTATTAACCATGTATGATTTTGTCACTAAGTCTGGACTTCAGCATACTGTCACATGGATAGTGCTTTCTACAATTAGCAGTATTGACTATTGTTACACTGTTAGTATTGGCTATCTTTATGAATACCTAATTCCTTCATTATTCAATTTTAAAAAATGATTATATTAATATTTCAGCAAATAATTTTACCCATGGTTATTTAAATAATAGAACTGCTTAATTTGGCGAATTTTATTACACTGAAATATACAAAGCCAGATATATGTTAAGAAATGCTATCATGACTGACAGCAGTTTTCATTTACCTTTCCTTTTATTTCTAGGACTACTTTTATCAAACTTTAGTCACCATTATTTTACAACAAAATGTACATGAGGCTGATGCATTAACTCAAGTTTTCAAATAATACTTACATAGCTTAAAAGACAAATATTTAGGCATTTTCAAATGTTTTTAGTTTCTGAAAATACTGAAAAACTTAATTTTTATTTTATATAAGAACACACTTACGCAAAATTATTTTTTATGAGAAGAAATTAATTCCTTTTTATTTCTTAAGTTTTTAAAAAATATTAATTTTTTCATTTAAAGAATTAACTTCATAAGAAACCCATTTTCAAATTTTGACTTTTTATGAAATTATTGAAAATATTATTAATTTTAATTAAATAACATTATTTTACAAATCATTAGAGTTGTTTTCATGCAATTTTTACTCACCTCATTGAAAATAACTATAAACTGATGTCATTCAAAACTATTTTGACTTAAAATTATTCCGAAGTGTACTTAGTTATGTGAAATTCATTTTTAAATAGAAAAAAAAAAACTTTCAACTGTCAATTTTCTTTGAATCTTTCCAGAAAGGGGGAGACGTTCAACAGTGGATGTATATTTTCTACATATCTGTCGGAATGTATCTTCTAGGAGCTGTGGTGTTTCTGCTGTTTGCATCAGCTGAACTTCAGCCTTGGGGAAGACTCTCTAGCAAAAGATCTGAAGACAGCAAAATTGAAACAACCTTGTCTGCGTAATTTATGAGCGATTATACTTATTTCAAGAAGTATCTGAATAAGGAAGCTAATTTCCTTCCTATGAAAAATGGAACATTTAAAAATTGTCTGCATTTACTGTCCATCTGTTAAAATGTCTCCGATAAAAGGGCTGAGTTTCTGTACTTAAGATTAATGAATTTCAGATTTTGGAGAGCCTATTCGATAATATGTCGTCAAACAGCGAAACTGAAAACCTGCTTGTGAAAAAATCTAATCTTATTGCTGTTTTGTCTGTGATATTTTATTGCGCTGTCAATAAATGTTTGGTTAAACTGTTTTTTTTTTTTTTTTTTGAATTCTTTGTTAAACTTAATACATCAAATGGAATCCAATAAACATTTGCAAAAGAATGATACATTTGAGACAGAACAAGCTGAAATTGCCAGATACACAGTCTGAAAGCAGCTGACTAGTTCAAAATGCTTTAATAAAAAGAATTTTTTGAATTAAATTTTTAATTTGTCTTACTATTTACTTACTGCCTACGTACGTATAGAAGTCACGACAAACATCTCTTCTGAATCCATTTTACAAACCGTTTTGGGAAACGGAGACCTTTATTCTGTCCTTACGTACAGATTTTACATAAAATCATCGTTCAAATGCACTCGAGAGCGAGGAAAATGCACATTTTCATTGGGATATCATTCCCGAAAATTTTTGTATTTACAATACATCTTTTACTTCGTACAAGGAAGTAATAAAGTACAGTGCCTGTCTGCCGCTTACTAAAACTGTAGAGTCATTAGGATTTTTTGAAGCAGGAGAAGTGAAAAATGATGAATAAAGTGAGCTGATACGTTGATACAGAGGTTCTACTGCATTCGTAGAACTTCCCTATAAACCTGAAGGAAATGCACAATGGGCATGGTGTTGAAAGGTTCCTGGATGAATCCCATGGAGGGAGGAAAAAGAAGAAAAATATCTTAAATAAATCCCCTTGGAAACTGCATGGAGGTAGGAAAGGGAGGAGGGGCCAATCCGCGCTAAAAGTGAAGCACTACTTTGAAGCTTGGGTCACCAGTGGGGTGTTTCTTTTTTACTTCAGTCTCGCTGAAAGATTCGGAAGTTTTCAACGATGTTCCATAGAAAAAAGGGACACTCCGTCATGAAAGAAACATTCATAGTGTGATGGATAATACAACTTCTATATTTGTGACATTTACGCAAAAAGCACATCTTGGTTATTTTTTCGATATAAAACACGATTTTGATTATGATTTGTTTTATAAAATTAAAGCTTTGCCTACAAATATAGATTTTAAGAAAAATGGGTATGCTTAAAGAATGAAAAATACCTTACGGTACATTTAAAATTTATACGTCTTTCGATACTCTTGATAGAGTATTCGTACTTTTTTTTATTTTCACAAACGTCAAATGTTTTGAATACAAATTTTTTCACATCCATATATTATTGTAAATGACCTTTTAAAATTTTTAGACGGAGAAGCTTTTACTACTGCCATTTTAAACAAATCGTTTTAATTTTTATACGAAAAAAATCACTTGGGGCTTTACACTTTTGAAATATAAAATTATGTATGTAAAATTTTGTAAGGCACATAGGTCAGATTAATTTTTATTAAATAGAGTAACCATGCAAGGGCTACTCTAAAGAGAAGAGAGCCATCGTGGAGGAATTTTTAGAAAAACGACCTTGAGTGGGTATTAAAATAATACTATTTTCAAAGTATATTCATATTTTTTTTATGTAAAACTTGGATGTAGCTAAATTAGTGTAAATTATTTACACGAAAAGATAGTGAATGCACCAAATTAAAGATTTGCACATGCCGGAAATGAAAAAGGAAAATTGTATAGGTATTATGCATGTGCTTGCAAAAAGCATGTATCTGCCTTTGACAATACTTAAATATCATTAAATATTTATAAATGTATTTGAAATGAGAATTTATTCACTTAATAAACAACTGTGAAGTACTGGAAGAAATCTAATGATTATGTATCTATTTAAATGATTTATAAATGTTATCTAAATATACAATAACCTTAATATTGAATTGTAACATAAATTGAAATCCTGTGACAAATACGTTATAAAATTTTAAGCAAGAATTGTTCGTATTGGAAGATCTGTTTAAAAGGTATTGTTAAAGCAAATGCTATGAATGCGCAAGAACGTAATAAAGGAGTTGAGATATTATGTTGAAATGAAGGGTAAAAAAAAATTAAAAAAAAAAAGTACACGTTTTACAAACAAAAATTATTAAATTCCCTTTCAAAATTTCAGAGAAAGTAGTACTATTTAATACCTATTTAATTATTAGGAATTAGCGAAATACTTTATTAAAGTATTCGCTAATTCCTAATAATTCTCTAATAAAATGAACCGAATAGAGCATAATTATAATTGACTTACATTTTCGATTTAAAAGAAGCCAAAAAATCATGTCATATTAAGAAAGTATTTTAGGAAGAGCTCTATAAATAGAAAAGAAAATCATAAATTTTAAATATATAATACAATAACTTTGATCTTAATTTTTGTACCTTAACCGAATAGATAGAATTACCTTAATTTTTTTTCTAATGTAATTAACGAAAACTTGCGAAAATATTTCATTCAAATTAACTTCTGAGAACTGTCTGTAAAGTATAGCATTAATCCGTTCAATGAAATGTTTTAAAAAATGTGTTTTTTCACATACTTGGACTCTGATTGTTTGTAAAAGAAAATATATACAATAGTATCTTTACGCCGGTTACAAATAGTTACATCCGAACGCGTCAAATCCCATAGAACTCAATGGTAAATGACCCAATGTTTTGGTCACCACGTAGGGATCGCCGGTGCTGGGTGTTTAGGGCGACTCCATCTTACTTCCTACCTCCATGGGAAACTGGCGAGGAAGTGGAAAATAAAGTCCAGAATCCGGCCGAGGTGATGATCTCATTTTTTGCGTGCTGCCATCTATGGGTGATTCCGTAAGTAGACGCAGAATTGGAATTTAGGGTTAGCTACTGGCTTCTGGAAGTAGAGAGAAAATATACTCCTCCTTCGACTAGGAATGAGAGCACGCAGTTTCTGAATCAGGGTGGTGACGAATTATTGTCCACCAGTTTTTAGTTGAGGCGCCATTGTAGAGTCAGTAGGTAGGTTCTACCGTTTCAAGCGCAACCTTGGTTGGCATTCTGCCAAAACACATAGACTCGTCCAAAAGGGGAGGTATTACTTGCTGCGTCGTGAAAGGTCTTCTCTCTGAAAAGACTAGCTGGAGGAAAGAAGTCCCCATCCTTCTACCCTATTTTTAGAATAATTCGGTCCGAATGGCGCATGCGTGTTTGCGCTCATGGTCGCGGATGAGGCGGTCGAACTATAATTTTGAAGTCAGGAAACTTAAGAAATCCGCTATGCCCTCGCCGGGACTCGAATCCCGGACCTCTCGAATAAGCGCAAGTGTGCTCGTGTTACAACACAAAGGCATGGTGGAAGGAGAGAGAAAATACCTCATAAAATCACTTCCGTTTCAAACATATTTGAGTTTATTAAGCTGCTGAGTTTATTACACGGCGATTTGTGTATTACATAACGTGATATCAGTTTTAAACTTTTTAAGAAAAATAATGACTAACAATTAATTAAATAATTCATCCTTGAATAATAATTAAAAATTAATGCTAAACTGTTTACGAAATATTGAAATTATTTTTTTAATTTCATATAAAAATATCTTTATAATTGCATCTCCCATCTCCCAAGAAGAAGAGAACGCCGACACGCCTTAGGAAAAGCCTGTGACATCACTAAACCAACTTTCTGTACGAAAACTACTATAGACTGTCTCCCATCTTACAAGAAGAAGAGAACGCCGACACGCCTTAGAAAAAGCCTCCCAACAGGAAATGCATGTTGGGAAATGCCTTAGAAAATGCGTGTTGGTCAGATCATTTACTACCCACATGCTTAGAGATGACAAATTCTAAACCTAGTTTGATTTCTTGCGTTGTTTATCTTTTACCTGATTCTTGCGTGGCGTGATTTTTGTTACTCGTCACATTCCATCTGATTGGTATCCCTTCTAGTAGGGATACCAAGAAGGGATACCAATCACCAGGATACCAGGATACAATGATCTCTCCTCTCTTTTATCTCCTTTTCTTGACAGTTCTTTTCTAGCTTGAGTTTCATTTCCTAGCGCTTTTTTTTTTTTTTTTTTTTTTTTTTTTTGAAAAATATATTTTTTTGTTCACCACAAACATGAGGCTTAGAAAAACATAAGTAAAAACGATTCATCAATTTTAAGTAATACAAGTTATTCAAACATCTTTGACTAAAAGGAACACACACACAAAGAAAAATAATCAAAATCATATTATTTCGGTGGCCAATTAATTCCAATTATTTTTAGTTTACATTTCAGCGAATTTATTGCGTAATTAAACAAAGGGCAATCAGAATGTAGGCAGAAAACACTTTGCTGAACGCCGAAATCACAATAACACAAATTGGAAGACGTCAGTTTAAATCGTTCAAGATAAACTTTAAACTTCCAATGCCCAGACAGAAATTGCGTAACGTTAAAATTGAGCAATAAATTCTTATTTCTCAGTCTTTCAAAGATATTCGGATATTTTTTTAATACCTCCCTTATCAGAAGCGATATAATCATAATTCCATTGTACAATCATTTTAGCTTTCAATATTTTTAATACTATTTGGAAATATTTACTTCAACATTAATATCTTTTCTTAGTTGCATTCTTAGCAAGCCAATCAGCTCTCTCAATCTCGGTATGACCACAATCAAATATAAAAAACACTGAAATACCCTCCTCCAATAGACTGCTGTACATTAATAATATTGTTGCGTTTTTCTACGAGTATATTCTTCTGACACCAGTTGTTGCGTTATTTTCTTCCTTCACGTTCGTACGGGGTTTGTAGATCTGGAGTGAATAACGACGACACATGATGAAGTATCGGAGCACACTTTATTTAGCCAATATTAATCAGGATAGCTCCAATAACACTTTTTACAGTCGTCGAAAATCTACTATAAACACGCTGGAACAATCAACGACACAGCCTTCGCACTGTCAGGCAATAATGGTGGAGACAGCTTCCTGCAAAACACCCGTCTCTGCTTTCCGGAATACAGCTCCCGACTCTGCTTGGTCGTTCTCGGAACTCCACGTACTCTTGAGACTCTCCACGCTACAACTCGCGATGCACTCGACGACACATGAGCACAGCTCCCGACTCTTCGGTTCAATGGTTCCCGGAGCTCAACACGCTCTCTCACTAACTCCGAT